CCCCCGGGGGGGCACCCCAGGCCAGGGGCCCCCACCTGCCCCAGCCCTGCCCACACTGGCAGCCTGCGCCCCTCTCCCCTCAGGAGCCCTGGGACTCACCTTCCCCACCACCCCGGCCCTCCCCTCCCCTCCCCGGCCCCAGCCCAGGCCCCGCGCTCCCCTTTCAGGCCCACGCGCCGCCCGTCCTGCGGCCCGGGCCTCTGCCCCTCGGGGCCTGGCACGACCCCGGGCGCCCGCCTAGCACCCTGGGGCAGTCCGGTCCTTCCCTCCTGGCCTTCCGCCGTCACCGTGAGAGCAGCCCAAAGCCGGGACACGCGGCCCACCTGTTTCACCGTTTGCCTGTTCTCAGACTTGGTGTCACCCTGACCTGCATCTGGCTCCGCCTGTGGGCTGGGCGGGCGGTGACCTTCGGGGTCTCCCTGGGGCCAGGAGCGCATGAGGGACTTTCTGGGGAAGAGGGACAAGGGGCAGCTTCTCACCCAGAGGAGCAGGCGGCTGAAGGAGACTCTCCTGCGACAGGTACCCCACGCCCCGACTCCTCCAGCATGGGGGCGGCCTCGCCGGAAAGCGCCTGCTTGAGGCTCCCAGGGGTCCGGGGACCTGGCGCCTGCGGGGCGGCCGCCTGCGTCCCCTGACAGAAACCGGGGCTGGGAGCAGGGAGGGGCTCTGGCCTGGCGCCGCAGCGGCGTGGGGCGGCGACCTGTCTCCCTGGGTCGCCGGGCAGTCTGGGGGCTGGAGGCTCCCGGGCTTGGACCCCCGCCCCCCGCAGACGGAGCTCTCCGTGTCCGAGGACGGCTACGTGCACTTCGGCCACCAGGTCATGGTGGTGAACCCCGACTTCCCCGAGCCCGACGAGCCGGTCCTGAGCGGGGTCCTCAGCCTGTGTATGACTCCGGACGAGATCAAGGCCCACCTGCTGGACGAGCTGGAGGTGCCCTGCGGGCTGAGCGCCGCCCAGGCCAGGGTGCCCATGGGCAGGAACACGTTCGTGGTCCTGAGGTACCGGCGCGGTGCCCGCTGGCCAAGTTGGCGGGGCGCCCCGAGGCCTCTGTGGCCCTAACGGCGCCCAGGGGGTGGCGGGGGTGCCTGGCCAGCCGCCAGCGTGCCCGCGCGGGTCCTGGGCCCCGAGTCGCCGAGCCGGGCTGCTCTGTCGCTTTAACCGGAGCACCAGGCCTTTCGTTCATTGTGGGGGTTCTCTCCCACTGAGTTGCCCCCCAACCACTGAGGGAGATCTTGGAGATGAGCAACTTCATCCTGGGAGAAAAGCTGGAGCCTCTTAGGGTGGAGACCTGTGCTTGGCCGAGCCACTGGACAGCCGCCCTGGGGCTCTAAACTCCGTTTAGATGCAAACGATTTGGCCAGTTCTGCCCCGAGGGCCGAGCGGCTCTTCCTGCAGGCGCCACTGGGCGCCTGACTCTGCTGTCCCAGCGGGGCCTGCAGGACAGCCAGCGTCGCACACCACCTTTCAGCGGGTCCCTTGGGTCCTCGGGGGCAAAGGGAGCCCCGGCGGGCCTGGCCGGCCGCTCACGCAGCCCCTCGCCAGCTCGGACGGCGGCGCCGACGGCCGGGTCCTGCGCTACGGCCAGAGCTTCTGTCTGGGGATCTGCGGCTGCGCTGCTGGCAAGCAGGTGAGCCCCCCGCACCCCGGGCTGACGGCCCGTCCCTCCCGCTGAGCCGGGCACAGGCTGGGGGCGCAGGCTGGGGCTGCCGTTCAGGGCCTCAAAGGTCTGGCGCAGACTCCAGGGGGGCCTCGGCGGGGCGGG